CCATCCATTTTTTCCTTCCACACTTCTCTGTTGCCCCTTGGCTTGTTCATAAGTGGAGCTTTCAGTGACGCTCTGTACATGCTCAGGAGCACTTTCGGTCTCTGGTACAATGCCCTTTCCCTCCTTCCTTCTATCCATCCATTTTTCCTTCCATGCCTCTCTCTTGTCCCTTGACTTGCTCAAAGGTGGAGCTTTCAGTGACACTCTGGACATGCTCAGGAGCCCCATTAGTCTCTGGTGCGATGCCCCTTCCATTCATCCATCCACCCACCCATACAATGTTTTCTTGCATGACTTGCTCCTAGGTGGAGCTTTCAGCACCACTCTGCACATGCTCAGGAGCACCTTCGGTCTTGGTTTGCTCTCTGCACATGCTCAGTCTCCTTCCTTCTTCCCTCCGGTGCCCCTTTTGTCCCAAGGCAAAGAAAAAGAAGCTCTTCTTGGAGGAACCTTTTTCTCTCTCTCCTCTGGCGGTCAGCCGGTCAGAGGACTTGGCAGCCTCCGGAGTCACATCCTGCGTCCCCCCGGCGTCCATCCTCCGGCCTCTCTGGAGGGCAGGATGGGACGTGACGGTCGGCACAAGGCCGGCCGGACGCTGCCAAGAAGCGCCTCTCGGGCACCGGCACCGGGGTCAAAGGCCGAGGGGAGCACTTCCTCCCCAAACATGACACCCTTTCTTTGCCCTCGAGATAGGCCTTGTTTACATCCCGTATTATGATTATTATTACCATTATTATTAATATTATTATTTCTTTTTCTGGATGCAGGCGGTGCTGAAGGACCAGGCCAAAGTGCGGCAGATGGAGCTGGAGATCCGGCCGGTCTTCCTGGTGCCGGACACCAACGGCTTCATTGACCACTTGGGCAGCCTCCTCCAGTTGCTGGAATGCCGCCAGTTCATCCTGGTGGTGCCCCTCATTGGTGAGTCTGCGGGAAAGGGGGTCGAGGGACCCCAAACCGGACGCAAGCTGAGAGTGTCATGCGGCGGCAAAAAAGGCCAATGCAATCCCAGGCTGCATCCATAGGAGACGAGTGTCCAGTTCAAGGGAAGCCAGAGACCCACTCTATTGGTCAGACTTTGCCTGTATCCAGTTCTGGGCAAAGCTTTCTTTTTTAGGCCTGCTCGATCTGTGGAACTCCCTGCCACATGAACTTGTAAGCACAGATCTAATAATAAGGCAATAATATAATAATAAAAAAGAATATAATAATTATGGTAAAATAATTAATAATAATAATAATAATAATAATAATATAAATAATAAAATAATAAAAAAGAATATAATTATAATAAAATTAATAATAATAATAATAAAAGTAATATAATAAGTATAAAATAAGTTATAATAATATAAGAATAATAATATAATAATATTATTAATAATAATATAAATAATAATGTAATAAAAAGAATATAATAAGAATTATAATAAAATAAGTAAGAATAATAATAGAATATTATTATTAATAATAATATAATAAAAAGAATATAATAATTAAAATAAGTAGGAATAACATAATAATAATAGGTTAATAATAATATAAATAATCTAATAATAAAAAGAATATAATAAGAATTATAATAAAATAAGTAAGAATAATATAAGGTGATGATGATGATGATGATGATGATGATGATTAATAATAATAATAATAATAATAAATAGGAGGAGAGGAGATTCCATCTGAACATGAGGAAGAACTTCCTGACTGTGAGAGCCGTTCAGCAGTGGAACTCTCTGCCCCGGAGTGTGGTGGAGGCTTCTTCTTTGGAAGCTTTTAAGCAGAGGCTGGATGGCCATCTGTCAGGAGTGATTTGAATGCAATATTCCTGCTTCTTGGCAGGGGGTTGGACTGGATGGCCCATGAGGTCTCTTCCAACTCTTTGATTCTAGGATTCTATGATTCTAGGAGGTGGTAGAGGATCACTTTAGTACTGTAATCCTAAATGGAACTGGAGTAGATGGCCTTTGGGAGTTCCTTTTGACCATAGCAAAAAAATAAATAAAATAAAATAAAATAATAATAATAATAATAATAATAATAATAATAAATAGAAGGAGGAAGTGGAGGATCACTTTAGTATTGTATTCCTGAATGGGACTGGGCTAGATGGCCTTTGGGGGTCCCTATTATTATTATTATTATTATACAATAATAATAATATGTACATGTAATAAATAATAATAAAGGTATATATTCAGAGACAAATTCCAGACACTTGGAACAAATGTGCATGTGTGCTGTGATGTTATTGTATTACTACTACTACTACTAATTATTATTATTATTATTATTATTATTATTATTATTATTATTACTGGGTTGTTGTAGGTTTTATCGGGCTATGTGGGTAAAACCTACAACAACCCAGTGATTCCGGCAATACATTATTATTATTATTATTATTATTATTATTATTATTATTATTATTATATGTATTACCTGCGGGGTACGACACAGTTGAAATACATATCTCAAACATATGACAGCTAAAACACATTTATTAAAAGACATATTATTATCGGAGCCATGGGGGCACGATGGGTTACACCCTTGTGCCGGCACGACTGCTGACCGAAAAGACGGCGGTTCATATCCGGGGAGTGGGGTGAGCTCCTGTCTGTCAGCTCCAACTTTCTCGTGCAGGGACATGAGAGACGTCTGTTGCATCACCAAGGTTGTGTGCTGAGAGTAGAACTTCAGAATGGCCCCTCTGTCCTCGGGATGCCCGGCCATCCGTCGGGAGGGATCGAATGGTGTCTTTCCTTCTCAGCGGAAGACTTGGATGGCCTTGAGAGATCCCTCCCCACGCTGGGATGTTCTCTCTGGCCGCCCTCTGCCCCGGCGCTCCCTTTTTTTGTGTCCTTATAAAGCCGCCGTCGGAGCAGGAGGCCAAAGCTGGTTCCTGTTATTGGTAAACAGGCTCCTCGCCCTGGCAGATCGGCCCAGCCTGCCGCTGGGTGGTCCGGCATGCCTTGCCTCGCGGAGGCACAGATCCCATGGCTCCCTCCCAGGAATGGGGGTCAAGGGCCTGCCTTGGCCTGCGTCCCATCGCCAGGGGCACGGCGGGCCCATCTCGCCAGGCAAGGGACCCCCAAAGGCCATCCAGACTCACCCTCTCCGGCCAGGCAAAGAGACACCACTCTCATGATTATCCATTATTATCTATGATGATTATTACACTCCGTGACACTAGGTTATAAATGTCATTTCCTAATTGGGTCGATCATAAAAACATGGGGAAAAGTTTATTCAACTGCACAAAAAGCTTCGTTTCTGCGGGAAGGACGTCCTCCTGCAGCACATTCGGCTCTCGTCATCCCATCATCGAGTCTCAAGCAATGCAGTTGAGTTTGTGGCCGCCACAACAACAACTAAGTTTCTGGAGTCACGCTTTCAGACCATAATATCTCATATAGCATTACATTATTATTATTATTATTATTATTATTATTATTATTATTATTGACACAAAAGCACAGTATGTCACAGCAGACAAGATCTATATGCTGGATTTCGTATTAAACACTTTCGTATCAAACACTTCCCAAGCATTTGTTATTGTTATTATTATTATTATTATTATTATTATTATTATTGAATCCTAGAGTTGGAAGGGGCCCCCAAAGACCATCCAGTCCAACCTGCCAAGCAAGAAGATAGCATTACATTATTATTATTATTATTATTATTATTATTATTATTATTGAATCCTAGAGTTGGAAGGGCCCCCCAAAGGCCATCCAATCCAGGCAGGAACATAGCATTGCATTATTATTATTGTTGTTGTTGTTGTTGTTGAATCCTAGAGTTGGAAGGGTCCCCCAAAGGCCACCCTGTCCAGGCAGGAATATAGCATTGCATTATTATTAGTAGTAGTAGTAGTAGTAGTAGTATTAATTTTATTGTTATTGAATCCTAGAGTTGGAAGGGGCCCCCAAAGGCCATCCAGTCCAACCGGCCAAACAAGAAGATAGCATTGTGTTGTTGTTGTTGTTATTATTATTGTTATTATTATTATTAGTAGTAGTAGTAGTAGTAGTAGTAGTATTAATATTATTATTGAATCCTAGAGTTGGAAGGGGCCCCCAAAGGCAATCTAGTCCAGGCAGGAAAATAGCATTGCATTATTATTAGTAATATTAGTAGTAGTATTATTGAATCATTGAGTTGGAAGGGCCCCCCAGTCCAGCCAGGAACATAGCATTGCATTATTATTATTATTATTATTATTATTATTATTATTATTATTATCATCATCATCATCATCATCATCATCATCATCATTATTATTATTATTATTATTGAATCCTAGAGTTGGAAGGGGCCCCCAAAGGCCACCCTGTCCAGGCAGGAATATAGCATTGCATTATTATTATTAGTAGTAGTAGTAGTAGTAGTAGTAGTAGTAGTATTACTTTTATTATATTGAATCCTAGAGTTGGAAGGGGCCCCCAAAGGCCGTCCAGTCCAGGCAGGAAGATAGCATTACATTATTATTATTATTATTATTATTATTATTATTATTATTATTATTATTCATAGTAGTAGTCGTAGTATTAATTTTATTATTATTGAATCCTAGAGTTGGAAAGGACCTCCAAAGGCCATCCAGTCCAACCTGCTAGGCAGGAAGATAGCATTACATTATTATTAGTAGTATTAGTATTATTATTATTGAATCCTGGAGTTGGAAGGGACCCCCAAAGGCCGTCCAGTCCAAGCAGGAAGATAGCATTACAATATTATTATTATTGAATCCTAGATTTCAAAGGGACCCCCAAAGACCATCCAGTCCAACCCCCTTCTGCTAGGCACAGTCTGATCCCTCCCAACAGATGGCCACCCAGTTCCTAAACAGTGAGAGTGACTTGGAGGGTGGAGACGCTAAGGGTTAATGCTAGGGTTTTGAGAGGGGGGGTGGGGGCTTGAAGTCTTCTTTGGCTCTTCTCCGACTTATTCCCCTCCGAATCCTCGAACCCGTGACCCGGCCTCTG